GGTGAGACTTTGTTTTCAGGTGGCTAACATTGTAGAGTACTAGTGACATGTGTAGCTCCAAGTCCCTTACATGTATATTATTTTACCCCCATTCATTCCCATTTTACAAATGAAAAACCTGAGCCATGTAAAGGCTAAATAACAAGCAAGTAGTACTACTAGAAGTAGTACAGTCAAAACTCAAAATGTGGCAGTTGAGTGCATAGCTCAGTGCCCTAAAATCTAGACTGTCCTTCCTGTTCCACACTGTAAGACTGGAGCAGAAAGGTCTTGCCACTCTCTGTGATGGCAGTGCAGAAAATAGGTGGAAGACATAGCATAGAAATCCTGGAAATAGCCTGCTGCAAGAATTAACGCAAGAGATGATGAGAACCTCAACTTAGAGCAAAAGTATTTAGGAGTAAAAACCACAGAACTTAGCCCTTAATTTGATGGGGACACTAAGGAGTTTCTGGATTGGAAAAGTGGATAGTTACTGGTACCCTTACTTGTTAATAGAGAGGATTCCTTTGGTACAAGTTTAATAATGGTGTCCACGGAATACTTAGGTAGAGAGGTCTAGAAATAGTGGGATACTCAGGTCAGGAGATCAAAAGGTAAAGCTTTAGAATTTATTAGCTTGGAGGGCATCAATTAAATTCCTCCTGCAAAAATCACCAAGCACTAAGAGTCCACAGTGAGATAAGAGGGCCATGGAAGAAACTCCAGGGCACTGCTGCTGAAAATATAGCCCATCAACTGACAGCCTGTCCCCCAACTGTTTATTACTAGTGCAGCATAGCAAAGAATTTGCTTCAGAATGTAATCGACCATGTTACTAAGTAATCAACCATGTTGCATACCGTTTTCTTCAGCTGACTATATTTTTAATATTAGCAAGACTTTTAGATGAAGGAAACATTGTGTTGATTAATGTCCTGATGTAAAATCTATATCTTGTCCCAGATCAGCACTTTGAATATCACTGATGTAGATAACACCAATATTGACACTTTGGGCAGAGCAGAAGGTTTCCAAAGAGACTGATGAGGGATAGTGTGAAGCAGAAGAAAGGGAAGTTAAGACATTCTGATGTGCACATGCTTTGAAGGATCAAGTGGTCAGCACAGCTGCAAAAGGGTCAAATGAGATTGAAGACTAAAAACATAATTATTAGATTTGGCCATCAGAGGCTCATCAGTAACAGTTTAGGAGTTTTACCCCATGATTTTTCACTCTTCTGCCTTCTTGAAAGTGTACCATTGCCATGTAGACCAAGTCCCTCTTGACTCTAAAGTACTTGGGTTCAGTCTTCATTTTACTTGTCTCTTGGGTGATTGAAGTTATTCATCACACTCTCCTTCCTTACATACTTTTTCATCTACCATACACTGACTTTGGTTTTACTCTTCAAATCTCACCCATCTTTCTCTTCCCATCCCTTCTACACACACTGCATTTCTTTAACAACACTCATTTCCTTAATTACATATGGGTGTCAGTTTCCAATCCTAAATCTAGCCCATATATCTTTCTGGAGCTTCAGAGCAGTCTAGAAGCCTACTGGGCATCTCTACTTGGATGCCCACAGCCCCTTCAAATTCAAAATGTCCAAAGCTGAACCTGAATTCTCACCTGTACTCTTCCCCATAATGCCTTCTTCTTCCTAAGTCCCATACCGAGCATTATGATCTCCACCCAGTTGTGAAACTGACATGGGCATGATTTTTTACGACATCTTTCTTCCTTTCCACTTAGTTATTGATTTTACCTCCTCCTGACACTTCAGATCTCCTTATGCCCACTGCCTGCATCTAGGCAGCACCATCCCTCACCTGGATCACTGAATTATCCTCCTGGCCAGTCTCCTGTTCTCAGTCTCCTCTCCAGTACCCTGCCACGTGGAGTGGGAGCCCCCACTCCCTTGTTGAATTCTTTACCTGCCACTCCAGCTTCATCTCTGTGCTCTTCTTTTGTAGACTCGGGTCAGATTGAATTTTTATTTCCATTTCTTAAACATAACATGCTTGCGCTCTCTCACCCCGCTCCCCACTCTCTCGCCTTTCCTTCACACATACTTATACCCCTGCCCAGAACACCATCATATTCCCTCTTCATTGATGCATTTGTCCTCTGTCTTTAGAAGTTTCTATAAGCCTGCAAATCTGAGTTATGTGGATTTCCTGTGCTCTCCTAGCATTCTGTCTTTCCTGTGTCATCACCTTTTCCACATTACTTTGTAATTTCTCATTATTGTCCACAAGTCAATGCATTCCTCTGAATTTTAAGCTCCAAGAAAGCAGGAACCCTATTTGCTGCATCATTATATTTCATCCTTCTGGTACAGTGCCTGCGTGGTGTGAACCTGACATTCACTCCATGTTTGTTAAAATCAGTGAATCCCCTCTAAAATATTTTCACCGTGAATATCTTAGAAGGGGTAAAGGTAAACAATTTGGAGAGGGTTTTAGTGAAACACGAGCTGTCAGCGGATTAGAAGATTAAATTATTTGAGTATTTGAGTTGTTTTGCACTAGGGGAGGAAAGAGAAGTTAGAGTCTGGAAAGCTGGTTAGGAGAATAGAAGCATTTAATTCCACCTCATAGAAGAGGAAGGGATTTAAAAAAATAAACTAGCTTGCATCACTTGTTTTCATCTTCCTTCTATAAGTGGAGGCTTGCAAGGTAGGGGTGGGTACATTTTGATATTTAAAGGTGTCAGGTCGTTTATCTTTTAGAGTTTTTTTTTTTTTTTTTTCCTCTTCACCTGGAAAAACTTTATGTGATTTAAAGCTTTCCCTTTATACTTTGCTGAATGAATTTGTTTTCTTTTGGAAGAAGCTTACAAAAGTAACTCATTTCATTATAGCTAGTCTGTTCCCCCCCCCAAAAAAAATAGAGATTTCCATCTCTCTTTTAAAAGGTTGAGTTTTTAAAGCAGGGATAAAGTAAACATTAGGGAATAAAGGAATGAGCCATCAGTAAGAGGAAATCTACGCTAACAAAACCTAGGAAAGATAAACGATTTTTAGAACAAAATTATATTGTCGGGAAGTCAAGGAAAAACGTGTAACATGCCGACTTACACTGCTCGATGTCTTTTAGCTTCTCTTCAGATATGAAATTCCAAAAGCCAGAGAGCTCTCAATTCAAGATAGACTTTGTAGTAAAGTACTTGAAGTGCAGGTTGACTTGCTGGTGACGATACTGGTTGTAAAATGAATGCTTGGTATCAAAACATGTTAAAGAGATTGATATGTGTTTTGTCTCAGATGGTGATTATCTGATTCTGCGTGGAGGTATACATTGCAGAATATCTTTTAAAAAAGAAGGCCAAGACTTTTTCCTCAAAGAACAGCTTTGAGTCCACTTGACTACTTAAAAGTCTACTCATTTGGAGCTGTTGATTATCTTTAAAACATGGAAGAGAGATGCTCAGTTTGTAACATCTTGAGAGGATGCCCTAGTTATCTACCTCTGTAATAAAGGACTATTTTAATGTAGATGTAAAGAATGATTAACTGACTAGTCAGCATTATATTTTAATGGTTCTGTGAGATGAGTCAGCCCCAAAATGCATCCCAAATAATAAGCTAACCAATGGTGTGGAGTTGTTTCATACTTTGACTGTAATTAATAAGCTTATAGGTCATTTTGGTGGTTTCTGGGTGTGAGAATCGCATGACCTGTTTGGATGAGAAAGTTTGCCACCTTGTTTGTTATAGAAGACGACTCTTACATGTCTTCTACAAGTAATGGGAATTTATGTAGGCTTTAAGATTAAACAGGAGATGTAGAGCTGTCTCCTGTGATTTAGAAACAGAAATGTATTCTGTCAAAGTCTTTTCCTGTCTTTACTCTGACTCAAGGCTTTGGAGAAGCACTTAAGCATTAGGAGATAATCCTGAGACCGTGCAATTTGACACGTGGATGGCCTTATTGGTAGAGTTGAGGCTGACAGCACATTAATAAAGGCTACCAGGCATCAATTGTTCTCAGTGGTTTTCGGTTTGGTGAAATAGACCAACTTCAACATCATCATAGTGAGAAGAATCATTCCTCATCTTAGATGGAGAGATTCCAAACCAAGTCTGGTACAGAAATCTGAAAAAGAGCTTGTGGGGTGAGCCAGCTTATTGGACATCTGGAATTTGGGGGAAGAGGAGATATTCTGATGTATGCATTCGTTAGACTAAAAAGTACCAAACTGGTGCAAATAAATGGATTTTTATTCATTCTAAACACCGGATAAGAATTTTCCCTAGCTCCACGCCACTGCCCGACTCTTCCTTTGAGCCTTTTGGGAGTTGTTCTTTATTTTTGTGATTTCTATGTAATTATTTCAGTGGCTTCTCTGAGTTACCCAGATGAGTACTTTTAATGTGCTGCCTGGTTTTGGATGTTTGGTTCAAAGAGACTAGGACAGAGAAAGAGCCAGGGATGGATGGTGTGTGGAATACGGGTATTGTCCATGTATCTGCCCTCTTTATCTTGTCACTCACTTGTTCTCACATAAAATGAGGGAGAAAATGGGGAATGTAAAATTTTCAAAGAAAATCTCCCTGATGACTCAGTTTTCCCTGCCCCAGAGCTGGTTTTTCCTTTTTTCTTTGCATGCACCAGAAGCCTTTTTGAAGTTGAGAGAGCCGCAGCTGAGGCAAATGTATGAGCCGCTCAGTGTGACCAGGTGCTGTGAATGAAATGAATGAGAGAAATAGGGAAAGATGTGGGGAACATTCTCTAATCACAGAGAACCACACAGAAGATGCAGGCAACCTAGCACAACGTGTTGCCTCTCACCTTCAATTAAATTTTAAATGCACCTGATCACACCTTTCAAAACAAATCTTGGAATTAGATATCTTATAAATTATTTGCCAGTGCAAGTAAAAGACAATGTATGATTTCAGCAGAATGAAATGTGCTTTACTATTGAAACTCCGCTTATGAATTAAAACAAGGTTAATCTTGGCACCATGGTGATGGAAATAAAAGATGAAAGTCCTTCCTATATTCCTACAGAATACAGCACAATCCACAGCCCAACAACACCCATTAAAGATTCAGATTCTGATCGATTGCGTCGAGGTTCAGATGGGAAATCACGTGGACGGGGAAGAAGAAACAATAATCCTTCACCTCCCCCAGATTCTGATCTTGAGGTATGTCATTCCCAACACCCAAGTAAATAGGAAGGTGTCTTAATAGCTAACTCGTGGTTTTACATACCTGCTATGTAAACAGCAGTGTTTAAGGTGTCAGATGCTTTTGTTACTGCTTTCTTTTTGTATTAACAATAGATAAAGCAATTTTTTCTCTCTTTATTAACTGTAGGTTAAGCAATTATTTGTTTTTTCTTCCCTGTGAACTATATGGCAAAGCATCTGTTTATTTCTCTCTAAAGAAATATAGTAAATTATGCAATTCTACTTGAACAAAATTCTGTCATGCTGCTCTATATCATTGCCATTTCAATTAAGTGGTCATACTAAAAATATTTAGTAAAATCCACTTGTTAAAGGGCACAAAAAATGGAATGAATAAGACATACTATTTGATAGCACAACAGGATGACTATAGTCAGTAATAACTTAGTTACATTTTTTTAAATAACTAAAAGAGCGTGCCTGGATTGTTTTTAACATAAAGGATAAATGCTTGAGGAGATAAATACCTCATTCTCCGTGATGTGCTCACTTCATATTGCATGCCTATATCAAAATATCTCATGTACTCCATAATTATATACATCTACTGAGTATCCAACAAAAAATACAAAATAAAATTAAAAATTAGTATCCACCTTTGTTGTTGTTCTTTTGTTTGTTTTTTTTGAGAGAGGGTTTCACTCTGTCACCCAGGCTAAAGTGCAGTGGCACAATCTTGGCTCACTGCAACCTCTGCATCCCCAATTGAAGCAATTCTCCAGCCTCAGCCTTTTGAGTAGCTGGGACTACAGGCATGCACCACCATGCCCGTCTAATTTTTGTATTTTTAATAGACCTCGGTTTTACCATGTTGGCCAGGATGGGCTCGATCTCTTGACCTCGTGATCCACCCACCTCAGCCTCCCGAAGTGCTGGGATTACAGGCATGAGCCACCACACCCAGCCATAAAATTCACTTTGAAATGAAAGACATACTTGTATATATTGAGAAAGGAAAACCTGAAATGCTCTAAACTGAAACAGTAATCATCTAATGAGACATGTTTTGATGGAGTTCAAAGGCAGGAAGGATTAAGTAAGAACTTAAAGAGTGGTAGATTTCATAGCCTTGAATCCACTGCAGTTAAGTTTCTGCTTTTTGCCAGAGTGAAATCCGTTGGTTGAAAAACATGATTATTTTGGCTGAAAAGATGAAAATTTTCCAGAAGAATCAATGTATATGAGTATGTACTGGTGTGAGTGGGAATGGGAAGAAGTAAAACAAGCTTGGGAGGCTTTTGTGGTGTCCCAAGGACCTTTTTGAAATGAACTCCTTCAGATCTGATTTTAAATACTTCAAGACTATCTCTAAGAGCACGAGTAATGTTTTCCCAGGCAAAAATGTTATTTAAAGTAGCTATAGGTAATTTCTCAAGTTATCCTGCTAATATTTTATTTCTCTTATGTTAATCTTTAAAAGAAGTAATGTTGTAAGTCTTAAATTTTGTTTCTAAGTTATTTGGAGCATTCGAGACTGAATTTTTATTATGTCTCAGTGACTGCAGCAGTTTATCACAATTAAGTGTTAGCATTAATATCATTAAACTGTGCATGCATATGTTGTTAAATATCTATACCCTGAAGACTTAAAATACCTGGCAAGAACAATGTATATCCCATCCTTTTGATAACAGCTCAATAGGTAATATAAGGTGAATAGATTCTTCAAGGTTTTAGTCTTTGTGTGCAGTTTTAATACTTGGTTTGCTAAGAGTAAAACATAAGATTCATTATTTTAGTACTTCTTAATGAGCAGATATCAGAGGTAAGGAAAAGATAAATGATATTTGATCAATTGCCCATCTCCATCTCAGCAGTTATAGACAGTCTAGTTTTAGCTCATTTTTTAAAATTTTTTCAGAACTGAGACTGAAATTCTATTACAGAATTAGAAAGGACATACATTATTATCTCTTTACTATATTTATATTGACATTACAAATGTAATTATCCTCTTGCACCTCACTGAAGTTATATCTGGAGAAAAGTTAGGAGGTACTCTTTGGAACTGTTGTGTTTTTTTAGGAATAGTAAATTCAGACTTTTCATTCGTCTCCCATTTCAAGATGACTTTTTCATGTTGAAGTTAAGTGAATAACAGCTTTCTCAGTCAAGGCAAAGACACATTGATTTGGTTCTTCCTTTGTAGAGAGTGTTCATCTGGGACTTGGATGAGACAATCATTGTTTTCCACTCCTTGCTTACTGGGTCCTACGCCAACAGATATGGGAGGGTGAGTACCAACAGGCATCAGCTTTTAAATTCCTTGGAGTAAATATACCTCTAATTTGTTTATTGTCCAAATGAATGTAATTTAACTCTAAGTAACAAATTTAAAATATAAACAGAAAATAGCTACATAGTCAAATATATATGTAAGGTAAAACTATGTAAATGAGCCATAAAAGAGATTATTTTTAGATCTTTGGCAATAAGATTCACTTCATGCAATTAAATTCATGCTTATTCAGACCCCAGTGAATAAAAGTGATTGAATGTTATTATAGGTTGAAACATCAAAGTACATAAGTGACACAGAAATATACTTGTGTTCTCTTTTTTATTTTTTCTTTTTATTCCCTAACATTAAGTGAAACAAGTATTTCACTTTCTGTTGTCCTCAGTGATTAGCACCTTTGGTATTTTATCTTAAAAGCATCTGCTATGAATGTCTCTATATGTCTCTTGGCTACTTGGGTTAAATTTATTTTAATAGTATGTAGGATTGATCAAAAGGCAGTAGGAAAAATTCACCTATGTTAGAGTTGTGCAGTACTTATGTTGGTATTAAAGAATAATATTATAGACTACCTTCCATGAGTGGAACTTCAGTTTCAGTGTTGTACATTTGGGTATCCCAAAACTTTGGAATTTCTTTTTGGCATATTGATGATTTCATAAGTCTTTCCCAGGCAAAAATGTTATTTAAAGTATCTATAGGTAATTTCTCAAGTTATCCTGCTAATATTTTATTGCTCTTATTTTAATCTTTAAAGAAATAATATTGTAAGTCTTAGTTTTTTTTTAAGTTAATACTTTGGAGCATTAGAGACTGAATACTTACTATGTCTCAGTGACTCCAGCAGTTGATCACAATTAAGTGTTAGAATTAATACCATTAAAATGTGCATACTGTTATTACCAATTTGACCAGGTAGTCGTTCTTTCAACAAATATTTATTCCAACAAATAACACACTGAGTGCCTGATGTGGATATGCAGTTTTGGGAATTTGGCCTTGCAGCCCAGCTTTCCTTTTCATCATCTTAAAGGTACACCTAATCAAAAACAGGCTGGAACCATCATACCCCACCATTTTAATTTCTGTTCTGAGATAAGATATCTGTAAAACACAATACATCTCATCATATCGTTAGGCAAATTCTCTATGAGAAGACAACAAAAATGCAGATTATAAAATATAAAACCACAGAATCAATCAGCCAAATGGTCTCTCCTGCATGACTAGCACACAGTAGGAATTCAAGAAATATTAGCTGTGCTTTTTCTTGTATTATTTCTTCTGTCAATACTATCCCTGTCCCTATTTCTAGAAAAAAAACTACTACTTAAAAACTAAAGATTAATATCTGAAATATCAACGTGTATTTAGTAGGCAGAACCTTGAAGACCTTCTTAACTGAGCCACTATAAAATCCTGTCTCCTGAGAAGAACACTGGTGTCTGTAACTCACACAAGAGTGTTGAAAAGAGAAGGCACTTAGAAAATGAGCATTTGAAAACCATTCAGAAAGTCCCAAATTTTTAAAAGCTGTCACTAAGAGTCAAACTGATGCAGACGAGAGTTATCTAAGAGTGTTCTATTAGCCAGTGAAAGAGTCCAGCTAAGAGTTTAGGAGTTAGGCATCCCATGACCTACTGACCTCTCAATCTTTGGCCGTAAATTATTGGCTTACACGTGGAATTTACACTTCACCTAGAAACCCCTGGCTTTATGTAATTTCTAATTCATGTCTAAACCAAATACTCCCTAAATATTGTATTACAAATACCATGAGTTTAATTTTTTTAATGTGTCAACAGTCATTAGAACTTTGAGGCTTCATCAAACAGTAGTTTGTTTAGTTTTGTTTTCTCAATCTAGGTAGCGTGATTAAAAAGTTTTATCTCATATAATTTCCAAAAGTCAAATTTATATATTCTCCGAAGTGCAGGCTATTTGAGTTTCTTAAATATAATCTTATCCTTAATTGATAAGTTTATGGGGCTGAGGGAGAACTTCAGAAGGCCAGGCTTCTGAGGAAGATCTTCCTGTGTGTAACTTTGGGTCTGAAGTCTGAATGGCTTGAAGTTACCATGTGGTCATCAGGAGAAAGGGTGTTCTAAGCAGAAGAAACAGTAAGTGCAGAAGCAAGAAAAGCTTTGCTGTGTGAAGGACAGAGGCCAGTGGGACCAAGCTTACTGTTGGAGAGTCAACAAGATGTGGTCAGGGCTGAAGGCAGGCTCCAAAGGGCTGCCCAGCCGCACACAGTCAACAGGGTTAATCTCACTGCATGTGCTATGGGAAGTCATCAGGGGACCACAATGGAGGAGATTAGAAGATCTGATTTACATTTTTAGATTATTTAAGCTACGTATGAAGAATTAATGGTAGGGGAAGAAGAATGGGGGTCCAGGTAGGAAGTTATAGCAGTGATCTGATGCACCAGCAGTAGAGATGGAAAGAATTTACTGGACTCTGGATTACACTGCAGGTAGAGAACTGGATTTGGAAATGATATGTATTGATTGGAGTGGTGGGTAGTAAACAAGACAGGGAAGTGAAAGATGATTCCCGGTTGTTGTCCTGGGCAACTGAGAAAATAGTCGGATATTTACTGAAATAGGAAAGAGCTCAATTTGGAGGGAAAAGAAAAAGTTCAGTGTTGGACCAGCTTGAGATGCTTATTAGACAACTGCTTGGACCAGGCAAGGAAACCACTGGAAGGTGAGCCCAGGGGACCTGGGGGGACTAGTCAGTGATGGAGATAGCAGATTCTCAGTCAACAGTGCAGATTGGGGTTAGAAACCCCTCATAGTCTCTTAGCTTGATTTCTTCCTAAACATTTTCTGAGCACCTTCCTTGTTCTGAATACTTGCGGTCAGCCTGTTGTCTCATTGCCTGCTGGTCTGTTTTCCTAGCAGGGTGACTTTTGAAGATATACGGCTTAGGATGTTGAATTGTAGCTGGAAGCATGCAAGGAAGTTTACTTAATGATGTCCTCATGAGAAATCATTAGAAATCTAATGATTTCTATCAAATCTGATCATCAAGCTTTGTAAAAATGTGGAGTCTTCCAAACAGTAATAATAACCAAGCTGATCAGAATGTCTTGCATTCCTTTTGTTTCCCCCAGAGCACTAAGAAGAAAAGTCTTAAAGGAGTTAAGTGACAAGATTTCTTTTTAGGAGCACAGATTTGGTGGTGTTCCTGGGCATTGTCAAAGGGAGCATGTGGTTGAACCTTACTCTGCATGCATATAAAGAATGAATGCCTGACAATGTGATCGCTGTTCTGTCTCTAAGGGAACCAGATACTTGAGAAGTAGCTTAGTCACAGTAGCTTAGGCAACTCAATGATTAGGCCATTCAGTAAAAGGACACAGGATCTAGTTGATATAATGCAAAATTAGGGCATGTTACGGCAATGTGTAAAAAAAAAAAAAAGTTTGAGAATGTCCCACCTTCCATGTAATCCTAGCTGTGGGAAGAAGGCATGTTGGGTGTTATAAGAAAGTCTTGTTTTATAACAAAGGTGATGGGGACAAAAGAGGGTGCTGGGTCCTGCACAGCCTTAGCCAAGGAAAACAAATAACATGTTAGGAAATTGAAGAGCCTGAGTGCTATGTAAATTAGGATGTTTAAAATAGTATCTGTCCTAGCTGTTTTGGTTTACTTCATTTTAAAAGTTGCTTTCAAACTAGCAACAGATTCCTGAATTTCATTGAGAAAAACTAGTCTTGGGTTATTTTTTCATTGGATGGTCTCCTTATAATAAAGAAGGTAATTCAATTATTATCGAAGTACACACCCAAAACTTGAATTTCAAATCAAAATTGTGCTGATGTTTCAGGGATGATCCCCTCCTGTGGGAGGATTACCCAGGATATCTACACCCAGTGACTTGATTGTTTCAACACTATCTTTTTATTATTGTTCCATGCCTGTGTGTCATAGTGATCTGGGCTAGAATGGATCTTAAAAATGTAAATATTCACTTTTCCTTTTCAACAAAAAAACAAAACGTGAACATTAAGAAAATGTAAAGCTTAGCATGTTTAATCATAGGCCCTATTAAGAATTTTATATATGTCCAACATTCATTTAATTCAACATTAATATTCCAAAGGTGCTATTATCAAGCCCATTTTATAGATGAGAAAATTGAGACTTGGGAGAGGTTAGAAACCAAATATAAAAAGTACCTAGCACCATGTCTGACATAAAACAAATATTCAATAAATATCAGTTATATTTGAATGTAGGTGAGACTTGACTGTCAAAACAATAAACAAATACTTGAATTCCTGCATAGTGGCCTGTGAGTAAAATGGTGGCAGTGTCCTCAAATTTATGAAATACAAGTATATGCTGTGCCTTATGGTATGATAGAAAGATAATCAGATTTGAATTCAAGTAGATCCAGACTCAAATCCAAGCTCTGATTTTTCAGCTCTTTGAACTTACACAAATTATTTATTCTTACTGAGCCTCAATTTTCTTTTTTTTTTTTTAAATATTTCAAGAATGTTATACCACCATTTATTTTCATTTAATTCTTCTTCAGTCAGTTAAATATGACTCTATACATTTTACAGAGAATAAAAATCTCCCTACCCGTAATGGAACACAGCATGTTGGAAAGTTGGGATATAAATATGCATCTGCTTTAAAAGTCCCTTTAATATAACCAGTCCCCATTTTTCAGTGGCTTCTTTTCATCTACAAAATGAAGTCTAAGCCCCTTAGCACATAATATATCACAAGGCTCAACCTCTGTATCACAAATATGCAGTATTATGATCATGTATTATCAATGCAAAGCTGAGCCTCAATTTTCTTATTCATAAAGCAGTTACTTGACTTGCAGAATTGTTTTAAAAATTAAATTGTATCATGAATTTGGCCCGGCATGGTGGTTCGTGCCTGTAATCCCAGCACTTTGTAGAGATGGAAGCTGGCCCTGTTGCAGGTACATCACTTGAGCTCAGGAGTTCAAGACAAGCCTGGGCA